AAGCCATGAAGATTGTTCAGAAAATGAAGGAGAGTGGATGCAAGCCCACAACTACTACTTTAAATATCCTTTTTAAAGGGTATGCAAAAGTTGGTGAGGCTGTAGAATCTGCAAAGCTACTAGAGTTAATGTCAAAGAAGGAAAACATTCAGCCAAATGACAGGACGTACAATCATCTGGTTAGAGCCTGGTGTAACAGAAAGAATATAAAAGAAGCATGGAATGTGGTGCATAAAATGGTGGCGTCTGGTATCTATCCTGATGTTATCACAAACAACACAATAGCAAGAGCATATGCTGAGGCTGGGGAGACATATAAGGCAGAACAAATGATATTTGAGATGCAAAACAACAAAGTGGCACCCGATGAGCGTACTTGTGGAACCATTGTGAGTGGATATTCTAAAGAAGGTAATGTGGCAGATGCCTTGAGGTTTGTCTAGAGGATGAAGGAGCTCAGGGTTCAGCCAGATCATGTTGTTTTCACCTCTCTAATCAAAGGGTTTCTAGATGTTTCAGATAGTGATGGAGTTGATGAGGTAAGTTTTATCCCATGATGCTCATTTTCTTGAAAATTCTGTCTTTTTCTTTTGAATTATTATAATACCAAATGTTCAAAGGGCTACATGCTAAAACCATGAATTGGGTATTAATCAATATGCTAAATGAAAAGGATCTCTTGTTATTAAAAAGTCAAGGCTCACGAAGGGTTGAAGTGTTGAACCCTATGGATATGTAAGTGGAGGATTATAACTCCTCGGCACTGAGTTTCAACTTTTCCTCCAGCAGAAAAATTATGGTTATTCACTCCTATCATATTGTACTTGATATTTGTTATTTGTCCTTTTAAACCGATAGATGTCAAATCATAATCCTTGACTTCCTCTTCACTTTGATGGCTTTGTACCCTGCATTGTAATGGCTAGAAACCCTTTGTCCTGTCACAGCAATTGTTTTGCAAGATCAATACTGGTAAAGTGAGATGTACATTCACGTTTCATAATTTTCTTAGGCAGAGCTTGTACAGCATTTGACAGCAGCACTTTCTCTCATTCTTAAGAATTATGTACTTACAATGGGCATAAATTGAGCAGGCACTGACACTGATGGAAGAATTTCGGATCAAACCAGATGTTATAATGTTCAGCACAATCATGAATGCGTGGAGCTCTGCTGGGCTTATGGACAGATGCCAGGAATTTTTTGATGACATGGTGAAGGCCGGGTTAGAACCTGATATCCATGTATTTAGCATTCTTGCAAAAGGCTATGTGCGTGTTGGAGAACCAATCGAGGCTGAGTCACTCCTGGATTCAATGGGCAAATTTGGTATACGTCCAAATGTTGTGATCTTCACCACCATCATCCGTGGATGGTGTATTGCGGGGAAAATGGAGCATGCGATTAGAGTGTAAGAGAAAATGTGTGAACTTGGCATTTCACCAAATCTAATTACTTTTGAGACCTTGGTATGGGGATATGGGGAAGCAAAACAGCCTTGGAAAGCCGAAGAACTGATGCAGATTATGGAAGAGAAGGGTATCTACTCCAGGAGGAAAATTACCCAACTTGTTGCTGATGCATGGCTTGCCATCGATTCAACTACTGAAGCAGAGAGAACCTTAAAAAATACATATGAGGAAATGACATCAAATAAGTGGGATGATAATGAGATACCTCAGCAGAGGTTTGATAAGATTTACAAGAAACAATATCCTAGAGGTAATCATTTGCAGATACCTGGAGTAGCTAAGACTGACCAAAAAGGGTCATCTAGAACTAAAATAAGAAGCCAAATGGTAGACGAAAAGTCCTGGTCTTCCCCAAAAACTAATGTGCTTCGGACACAACAGCAGATTAAATGCAGGAAGCAGTTAGAAAATCCAAAAATGATATATGGGGGTCTGTAAATTTGAGCAGAGTGGTCTTCATAAACTGATACATATTACAGAAACATAACAGGAGGTGATCATATTGCTGCGAATTTAAAGGTCACTCTGGCTTTCTGAAGTACTGATGATCAATTCTTAACAAAGCTGTTGATATTGAGCCTGTACATATGTCTAATTACAATATTAATGTACATAGTGTTGATAATCAGGGCAAGAGGAGAATGCTGTCAATTTGTTCATGAAAGTAAAGCAGTACTTTTATTTAATAAAAGGGTCCGTCTTTCAGACCTATTTTCCATCCTACTCTTTTCTGGTTCTAGTCTTCATATTTCTGTTTTGTTTCTTCTTGTTTCTTCCCTTTCTGTAATAGCTCTGACCAGGACACGGCTAAACACAGAAAAAGCTCTGTTTTCTTGAAAGACGAAGTGTTTCTGGTGGAGTTCCAAGACTCTAGAATAACTTATTAGCCATCCTTTCATAATGAAACTACTTCTTTTCTTTCCTTTGTTTTTCTTTTATAAAAAGGTAGACATCTTTGGAATATGTACAATATATTACCTGAACCCTTCCATTGAGACCAAAAATGGTCTTCAATCTTTCTGAAATGGCCTTAGTCCTTCTATTAATCACTTAACCATAATGAAATTTAATGACAATTAATGGAACCCACATAGTAATTGTTAGGTCAAAAAGGCTTGCTAGTAATAACATTTTCTTACCTCAAATTCAACATTTAAATTGCGCATATTTCATGCAAAAGAATAGACATCATATAATTCATTCATGAATCAAAGAATTACAACCTATTGATAACAATTCTTAAAAGTCTGCATCAAGGTTCCTTAGCCTACGCCAATAGACATGTGCTTGGGGAGAGGGAACTCCCTAAACCAGCTATGGTTCAATGCAGATTTTGCTGCGATCCTCCTCCTCGGGTCATATGTCAGAAGCTTCTGGAGTAAATCCAGCCCTGAGTTAGATAGAACCGGAAACTTTTGCCTCAACTTATTCTCAGGCTGCTTCGCAAAAGTAATGTTGCTGACCCCTGGCAAGCTAGATAAACCAGGCCAGTTCTTCACAGTGGGTGTCCCAAGAACATTCACCATGGAGTTCAACTGATCAAGTTCTGATTTCCCTTTGAAAAGGGGCTCCTTCTTCAACAACTCTGCCAATATACACCCAACTGACCACATGTCAATCTCTTTAGAATACTGTTTAGTTCCCAGGAGAAGCTCCGGTGCTCTGTACCACAGTGTCACCACCAAAGATGTCAGTGGCTTCCCGTCATTTCTTTCGCGACAAGACAGCCCAAAATCACATATTTTCAGCTTGCCCTCATTGTTCAGTAACAGATTCGATGTCTTCAAATCTCTATGAAGAACCTTATTTTGATGAAGATAAGAAACTCCCTCCAACAACTGAAGCATCAACCCCTTTACCTCAGCAGTGCTTAAACCCTGCTTTCGTGAATTGAGGAATTGGCATAGATCCTGCCCCATGAACTCCATAGCCATGTAGAAATCACCAGCCTCACCCTTTACTACTTCCTTAACATTCAAAACTGATGGGTGCTTTAAGGAGAATAAGATTTTGATCTCCCTCAAAGCCGCTGGTGGCAATCCAGTCTCTCCTTTTCTGTGCTTCATCAGCTTCAATGCCATAACTTTTCCAGTCTTCTTCTCAATGGCTTTATAAACAACACCATACGCACCTTCATTGATTTTACTCAGTAATTCATATTCAGACAAGGTGGTGCAGCTCTGAAGAGGGTCTGTACTTCTGGGGATGGCAGCTACAGGCTCAGATGTTGTCTTGTTTCTCTGAATTAATGCCTTAGCTTTAACAGCAACACAATTCCCCTCCAGAACAACTAGTGGCGGGAGCTTCCGTAATTCTTCAACAATCTCTCCCTCTTCAACCTCCGGTAACTGCGGCGGCAATAGTAAAGGCCGTGACCCTAACTTCGGCAAACCCACCAAATCGAATTCCATATTGAGATTTTTCATGGTCGATTTTGAGGCCTCAGGGAGGACAATAGAGAATCGCAACCTCATTCTCTTCTTTAACGGCAACAGCTTTTCATCTTCAGACTTTTCAACATGGCAAACGCGCGCCTTCTTAAACCCATGATCGGAACTTCTCTGATGCCTTATCCCTCCATCAAATCGTGCCCTCTTCGACTCAAAACAAAACCCTCCACGGGACCTAATCTCTCTGTCCCTCGAATCAAATCGCCGCCTGGTCCCCTCGCGGCAAAAATCTCTATCCCTCGAATCAAAACACCGTCTGGCTCCCTCGTGGCAAAAATCCCTTCGGTAGTGACGAAAACCAGGAGAAGAGAGATCACGCCACCTCCCCGTCACCGACCCAAGACAAGAAAAATCCCTTTTCCTGGAGGAGAATCTCTCCCCCGCCATCACGTTTGCACAAACCGAAAGCAACAGACGGAGTATTAACAACAGAAAGAATATCGCAGCCGCAAAACAAAGGAAGATCGAAAGCCTAACCTCTTCTGCTCTCCCTCGAAATTCAAAGAAATTCTGATTTCGAAACCCTAGAGTTTGTTTCTTAGAAACAGTGTACAGAGTACTGAGTGCGGAAACGAACCCGCTCGCGCCAATATAAAGTCGGCTTCTAACGGTAAGTAATCAGAATTTTTTTCGTTTGTTTGTAAGCCAAGTAATCGAATTTTTTATTAGCTAGCTTTCTATCCAATCACAGTTTGACACTTGATGTTAATTTATCCGAAAAGTATTCCATGTTTTAGGATGCGGTACCTGGATTCTTACATTTTGTTCTAAATTCAGATACTAAATAAAAAGGAGCATAATTTAGTGATAATTTTTATATTATTTTTTTATAATTATATTTATTTATTTTAAATTTATGATATTAAATATATTTATTAATTTAATAATATAAAAAAATTATATAAAAAATTTATCGCTATATAACCATCCAAATAAAAATATCTATATGAGTTTAGATAAGATATATAATTCACTTTAAATTCTTCATTTCTTAAATAGCTAAGTTGAGCTCGTTCTATTTATTCATGCCCCAATTCCCTATCAATCCAAAAAACTTTTCAAGTTAAGATTCACGTAAAATCTAAAATTTAAACTTAAATGGTTAATAATTATTAATCTTTATAATTTTTAAATAAATAAATAATTTATATATTTATATATTATTTACAATTATAGTTTCTATACTAAAGCATGAATTTTTTAAAACAAAATGTCTCAATGATCAAGTTAAGTGAGCTTCTCAGTCGGAAGTTTAAGCTTAGTTAGTGATGTGTATCATTTTACTTCTACAATATTTTCTTAAATTTCAGTAAAAAAAATATTATTAGTAGTTAGGAGGGTACTATAATTGAGAAAATTTTTTATTTTTTATTTTCCTTTTTAAATTTTAAGTTACATATTACAGCAACTCTCTCTTATTTTTTTTAGGTCACAACACACATTTTATATAATTTTAATTTATAATCTCTTTCATTAATTAGAGGAGAATTTTGTTAAATTACTTTAGTTGTTAAGGAAAATGTTGATTTTTTTTGAGGAGGAAAAACAAATTTCATTATTATTATTTCTTTTAATTTTAGGGTGCATAAAAAGAGATAAATACTCTCTTTTTTATTTTAAAAGAATGTTGCAAATGGTTAAAAACTTGAGAATTTTAGTTGAAATTTTTAAATTTGAATTTTGATGCGATGGAGAGAGTAAGGAAATGAAATAGTTCTTTTTTATTATATAATTTATATAAAAGAACAACAACTCTTCCTTTGGTTTGTCTATTTTATTCACATATTTAGAATGTAGATTTTCTTATTCTTAAAGAGAATTATTACTTGATAGCTGACACCAAATTTTATGAAAAAATATTATTTATTTAAATTATATTAATTATATTCTAGTGTAATCTAAATTGTAAAATAAAGCAATCAATTTTTATTAACTGAATTATAATATTGGCAAAATTTTGGACTTAAAAATCCCCAGGATAGGTTAGGAAAAAAATGAGGTAAAAATATTGCAAAAAAGGACTGTTTGGTTGTAAAGAGCCACGTTGCAAGGCATCCACTGAAACAGCCAATGGTGTAATAGATTGCCAAAAAAAAAAAAATTAAAAGGAGCAATCCGGATATATGTGATCTCCCTTTCCCGATATCAATGCCCCAAATTCACGTCTCAGAAAGATTTGAACTTTGAAGCAGGGCATCGTTTGTTAGTGGAGTGGTGAAAGAGATGTTGATGTCTCTGGACTTCCGACCTCCATTAACTTCACCTCAAAACCCTAATCTCAACTCAACCCAATTGTCTAAATCCTTTAAAAACCCTTATGCTCCCTCTCTTTTCTTCTCTACATCATTTGAAAGCCGTAATTTCAGTTCAACCCATATCTCCAAACCTCTCAAAAACCCCATCACAATCCTCAATCTCCACCTAACTTCGAGACGATCATCCAATTTAAGATATACCCAATTAATTTCTCTTTTCAAAGACCGTACTTTTCCTGTGTTTAGGCTCAGAAGTCCCCCAACATTAAATCCCAGAAACCGGTTTCAGAGACTTAAGTGCTATGGGATTAAGGACTCCGGTGAAGAGACTAAGGTGGTGGTGAACTCTGGTGGTGACGATGGAGGTGGCGGAGGTGGCGGAGATGGAGATGGAGATGACGAGCCGGTGGAGAAGAGAAGTGGGCTATTGCCAGAATGGTTGAATTTAACTTCAGATGATGCTAAAACAGTGTTCGCGGCATTAACCATAGCGCTTGCTTTTAGGTCATTCGTGGCAGAGCCGAGGTACATACCTTCATTGTCGATGTATCCTACATTTGATGTTGGAGATCGAATTGTTGCAGAGAAGGTAGTAATTCATCTTTCTGTTGTTTTGTAATTATGCTTGAGGTCTCGAAACTGTTGATAATTCTATGTGCCTGCCTATCTCCGTATATATCTTGTGGACAAGTCTTTGGATTTTATTGCTAATTTTTCTTGCGCTAAAGACTTCATTTTGATAGAATTGCACATAGAAAGTCACATGCTTTGGTTATACTTTGCAATAGGTTGCTGAGAATGAAGAAATAGAGCTCTTGCCTCCCCTGAGGTTAATGTTAACTTCTGTTGATATCTGAACTGAAATTGGTATTTGAGCACAACCGAAGTCAGTTACAGAAGTTTTTATTTTTTGTACATTTTTAGGTTTCCATGTCCTGAATAAGAATTGGTGTCCATGAGTAACATTGTGAAAATAATTCATAAACCTAAAAAATGAATGAGGGAAAGAAACGTTGTTTCTACATTATGCTGCTTTTTCATTTGTCTTTTACCAATATTAACCATTAAACCTCATTTTATGTCACTGCATTTTATTTTGCTTAACATGCCTTTATAAGTTGATGAGGAGTTTAATTGGTGTAATTTATATCTGATTTTTTTTTTTTTTAACTTTAATTTGTCAGCTTACATACTACTTTAGGAAGCCATGTCCTAATGAGATAGTAATTTTTAAGAGTCCACCTGTTCTTCAAGAAGTAGGATACACTGATGATGATGTCTTCATCAAAAGAGTAGTTGCCAAATCAGGTGATATTGTGGAGGTAAAGTCATTTTATGACTATTTTTTTCTTTTTTCTTTTTTTTTTTGGGGGCACATCTTTATAATTTTGAGAACAACCAAATTTTTTTTCTGTTTTGGAGAATTGCAGAAGTGTATTTATTTTGATCCAAGTGTCTCTCTAAGTATTTCATGATAATCTATGTGAACAAAATAAAGCCTTTCATTACAACACCTCATTCAAAAATACCTTTTTACTAATTCCAATTAAATCTATGAGAACTGTTTTGGTCAAAGGGAATTCTATTTAGCTCCCGTGTTTCAGTCTTTGGATTTCATGGGATTGACCAAGTATTCTTTAATTGCAGGTTCATAATGGAAAACTTATTGTTAATGGTGTTGTACGAGATGAAAACTTCATTCTTGAAGCACCTTCTTATGAAATGACACCAATTGTTAGTATCATTTTGTAATCCTAACATCTTCTACCTTTCATTCTTATTCCTTCAAAGGTCCATGTGAGATATGATAGAAGCAGCAATTATGATCAGAATCTCTGCAAGCTTGTCTTTCATTCTGATTGCTAATTTTGTGCCATATATTACTAATCTTGCATCTGTTTCTGTTATTCATGTTGCAGCGTGTACCAGAGAACTCAGTCTTTGTGATGGGTGATAATCGTAATAATAGCTATGACTCCCATGTTTGGTAAGAGCTAATGTTCTTGAAAGTTGGTGATGGTGCATTCATGATACCTCACACAGCTGACTTCTTGAGTTGTTCTATTTCTCTTTCAGGGGTCCTCTTCCAGCCAAAAATATCATAGGAAGATCAGTATTTCGATATTGGCCCCCAAACAGGATAGGTGGCACGGTACCTGATAGTGGCTGTGCTGTTGACAAACAGGAAAGCAGCCAAGAATCTGAATATAGATCCAAGGGCCAGTAGGTATTTAACCAAAAGAGGGTATGACTTTTGGTTATTTATGTCATGTTCCCTTAGAATATCATGTATTTCTCTTGCCTCTTTCTATGACTTTTTGAAAAAAAAAAAGAAAAAAAATTCTGTGGTATCAATTTTGATAAAAGGTCCATTCTTGTAAAACAGGCCCTTTTTGAGGCCTATCCTAATGATCTTACAACTGCAGATAAAGCATTGACCATTGTAATGGCTAAAGATCAATACAATTCCAATTTTTTTGTGGATCCAACTTCTTCTCTCCGTTGTCTTGTTCAATGAGATTTATATGGTTTGCTTCCACGTTTAAGTAGACAGCAAACTCTAATCTGGAAGTCGGACTAAAACAATTGTGCCGTTATCCTTGGGTACAAATGCATCTACTTCATGGTTTGTTGTGCACTGGCAAAAAATTGAGAGTATGGACGGAGCATCTGATGTTATCTTCATGGAACACCTAGATGCATATACAAATTGGAACCACTTTGTAACTTATCCCAATTCCCAAACATGCATTTATTTGATTTTGAGCCACAATTCTCACGTTACACAGCAGACTTCTCCATCCACTCTGCAAAAACATATTCAGGCATAATTTGATAGATAACAAGCATGTACAAGATTGCCATATACTCCTTATACAATCCAAATCCAAACTCAAAAATTATATTTTGAACTCTGAAGGCATTCTGTTCATGTATTTTGCCTGCACACTCAGTCTTGTTGATGAATGTGGAGGAACTTCCTAATGAAGCAAAATAATTTTATCAATACAATATTACCCTACATCAAATAATAGTTGTTTCCACTGAGAAAAGCATCTAAAATTTATTTAAATTTCCTGCCATACTAATGGATATAATCAACTAATATATATCTCTTCACACCAAGAAAGAATGCAAACAACTGCCTGTGACCGAAAACAGCCATAATCTATCATTTCTAAGTGAAAGGCAACATGTAGAGTTGCAGAATCGATGAGTGTCAGGCATAAGTGCATGACTTCTCCTTCAGTTTGATTGGCTTGCTGCTATGCGAATCAATGGCCAGGGAACAAGAGATGCGTCGTCTATGCCTTGACTTCACCAACTTCCCTACCACATTCCCTCGTGATCGTACTTCAAACACTAATGCCACAGGAACACCTCCTTCATTATCTGCTGAGACTGCTAAACTTGCCCCAGCCCCATATAAAGGAACCCTTTCTCCTTGGAGGGAAACAAGCACCGTGCGGTGGCTCTTTCTTGGCTGATAGTATTTCTTCAACTGCAATCACAACAAGAATGCAGTTGCAGACAGAGATGAGCATTATTGTATCATAAGGAAGACATAAAAGTATACTTAATGAGCTTGTTAAACTAAGACTCTAACATAACGCAAGAAACCAAGGGCACAGTCAACAGGAAGTTTAGATTGTTGAATTTCATATGCAGGTAACATAAAAAAATTAGTTTTCACTTTTTAAAAAACATGGCAGCTCTCTTTATTTCTTTGAAAAGATTTTTATCTTCCAATCTTCAATTCATTTGGTCAAAAAAGCGTTCAATTTGATACTGGATATATCGTTGAAGAGTGCTTAAGAAATTTACCTGACCACTTGCAACAGTGATCTGTGAGTACATTAGGTTGATGGGTGTAGAGCTAACATGAATGCCAAAGAATGTAGCAGGGTTGTATATAGTCATCCTAACTGAACAATTCACTGTGAGCATTTTGGTTGGAACTCCTGTCATATCTGACCCCTCTCCAAAATAAAAATTATGAACCGCCAAGCTCTGCAACAGAACAACTTCCATTAGGGTGGCAGAACCAATTTATACAAGATGGAGTACAAGATAGAGACTACACACGGAGTTTGCAATTTGAAACTTCAGGATTTGGGAAATGATGGTATTGGATAATGAAGATTGAAGATGTTCAGACAACCCAAGTTTTATATGACAAATGTCCAATCTTACAACCCCAATTCAGCATATGTATTGTGTAACAAACAAACAAGAAATGTCCTCTTATGTACTAAAAAAAAGATACAAACAAGAAATGTAAATAAAAATTTGATTCTACAATAAATAATCCATTTAATTAAAGATTGAATTTCTTTTTTTATTGGGTCTCTGGGGATCATAAAATTATTAAAAAATAATACTTTGAAAAAAAAGAAATAATTAGCAAGAAAGCAGATACCTTGACAGCAATCTGAGCTTTGTAAGGCCTGCTAGCCCCCCAAATGATGAGGCAAAACACAGAGAAAACCACCACAAACCCTAAAACCCCCATAAAAACCTGACACCTTCTTGACAGCCCCTTGTCCCTCCCGTAAAACTCCCCATAATCCCCTTCCTCCTCTATGACGTCGCATTCCGGCCATCCCTTGTCGTTCCTCTTCCTCCCCTTCTTCAGGGTCCCCGAGAAACGGCTAGCGGAGGAGGCCCGGGAGTGGCGGCTGTAGGAAGGGTGGGAGGGTGACTCCGTGGGGCTGTTGTAGGCCGGAGTGGCCTGCATCGAAGACGACTTGTCGCCATCATGGGAGTCCCTGGACGGGCTCTGAACATAGTACAGGGGACGTTTGGGAGATCTCGGCGACGAGGGGACCGAGCTGGTGACGTCGGAGTCCGTTTTGACGTGCATCGGAGCGGTGTTTCCCAATGAAATTGATCGGAATCTGATGATGAGAAGGGAATTGAGGAAAGAATTGATGGAAAGTGGAGCTGCAGAGTGGGGAGTTGGCTGTCAGTTGCGATAGGGACAGAGGCGTAGGCTCGGAGAGGAGGTGTGGAACCGAAGCTACAGGTTCGGAAACGAGTGTCGGCAGTGATTCCGTTAAATATTGATTGGTGAACTGTCAGTGCCAGTCCAGATTGACGAAGTTACCAAACAAATGGGGCAAAGACGTCCGTTCTTGACATTGATATTGTCACGAAAACAATGTCAATAGCACATGAAAATATTTTTGGATAGGATAATGACATGAAGATTATATTTTTTTATAATTTTTTATATAATTTTAATACATTAATATTAAATAAATAAATATATAAAATATATA